TCTATATACAAATCCCTTGTTGCATGATTTCGGAATATCTTCTTTCCTGTTTTGGGTTGTCTTTTTTTTTTTTTTTTTTTGACAGGGATTATCTCAGTTACATTTCCTGCTGCTGGGACAAAACACTGACGAGAGCAATATAAGGAGAAAGGGCTGTGGGTCATAGTTCATGAGCACAGTCCATCGTGATAGGGGAGGCAAGGTGGCAGGAGCTTGACCCAGCTGAAAACATTGCATCCAGAGTCAGGAGGCAGAGAGGGTGGATGAAAGCTGCTGGCCAGCCGGCCCCCAGCCTCCAGTCAAACAGTCCAGGATCCCAGCCAAGGGAATGGCTCCATCCATGGTGGGCATATCTCTGTCTCCCACAGGCCTGGCTCCCAACTGAGTCTAGATTCTATCTAGTTAACACTAACCAAAACATACCTTACTGGGTAGCCCAGGCTATCCTCTAGTTCATCATCCTTCTGCCTCAGCCTCCCACATGCTGGGATTGCTGTCCTTCTCTACCTCTCTTTGCTTTCTTAAGGTTGTCCCTTTGGAAAGAACATCAAGATTCTAAATTAGTCTAAATAGAAGCTTATTTCCCTTCTCTTGGCTTGGGTCCTGAGTGCCCTGTATGAGAAATCACTATGCCCCAGGTCATGAATCTTTTGCCTATATTTCCTTATAGTTTTCTGTTTTTTTGAGACAAGGTCTCATATAGCCTAGGCTAGCCTCAAATTTGCTCCATAGCAGAGGCTGTCTCCTGCCTCCACTAACGAAGTCCTGGGATTGCCAGGGCTTCCTGCTGTGCCTAACCTCCCTCATGTATGCTTTTCATTCCACCCCATAGGTTCAGGCTCGGGATCCATTTCAGGCCATTTCTGTGTTTTGTTGGAGGAAGCTGGCGGGCATTCTCCTGTCACATGTGGCTGCCCAGTTGTCCCAGCAGCCTCTGTGCCGTCACCGCTGAGTTGTCTCGGCGTCCTGGTAATGTCATCTGATTATGAGGGTGCATTTTTTTAAAAACTTATTATTATCAATTGTGTGCATGTCTGTGTGTGTCTGTGTGTATGTGCATGTATGTGGGCGCGCCTGTGTCCGTGTTCATGGTGTGCGTGTCTGTGTGTGTCTGTGCTCATGGTATACGTGTCTGTGTGCGTGCGTGCTTGCATGTCATGCTGCTCATGTGGAGTCCAGAGAGCAGCTTTGAGTCAGTTCTACTTGTGATTGAGATCAGGTCGTCAGGCTCCTGAAACAGTCGCCTTATCCGCTGAGCCATCAAGTCAGCCCTGAAGCTGTGTGTTCCATTGGCTTGTAAGGTTGTCCGTGCCGCAGTCCACACTGGTGACCTCAGGTCTACAGTATGTTTTGAAACTGAGAAGTGCAACTCCTCAAACTGTGCTTTCTGTTTCAGGATGAATTTTGACAATTCTGGGTATCTTGAATTTCCATATATATCTGTGTGTATATACAATTTTTTTTTTTTAATACAGGGTGTCTCTGTGTAGCCCTGGCTGTCCTGGAACTCACTGTGTAGACCAGGCTGGCCCTGAACTCACAGATCCACCTGCCTCTGCCTCCCGAGTGCTGGGAATAAAGGCGTGCGCCACCACCGCCTGGCAACTTTCCGTATGTATTTTAAAGTCAGGCAGTCAGGATTCGTAGAGGAGTCAGCTGGGCTCTGGCAGGGCTGTCACCTCAGGTGGGAGTATTGCCAGCTCTCCTGTGTGCGTGTGTACACAGGGCGCAGATGTGTATGGGTGTCGGTGTGGAGGAGCCGAGGCTCCTTAGTTGGCATTGCTGTCATTTTGAGACAGGCTCTCTCCCTGACCTGGGGCCCTCTCGGTAGGCTAGGCTGGTAGGCCAGGCTGCTGCAGGTGAGCTCAGGGAGCTGTCTGCCTCTGTCTCACAGGGCTGGACTTGTAGGCGGTGGGAGCTCCAGCACAGGTCCTTGTGATTGTGTGGCGTCCCCCCCCACCCGGCCCTTTCCATCTGACCAGTGTTTATTCTTGGGACCTTGTGAGCAGGGGTTGCTTTCCTTTAATTAGCTCTTCAATTTCTTACAGCAGGTTTGGGGCTTTTGGGAGCTTACGTCTGACCTTTCTTTTGTTGAGTCTTTGATGTTATGGGATATTCTTTTTTAACCTTCATTTTTGGTTTAATATTGCTAGTGTATAGAAAATGCATTTCTGGGGAGCTTGAGAGGTGGCTCAGCAGTTAAGAGCACTGGCTGCTCTTCCAAAGGACCTGGGTTTAATTCCCAGCGCCCACATGGCAGCTCACAACTGTCTTTAACTCCAGTTTTAGGGGATATGACACACACTGTCTCTCTCTCACTCACACACACACACACACAAGCAGGAAGAAAACCAGTGTACATAATATAAAAATAAATAATGTTATTTTAAAAAATGTATTTCTTTATTTTGTCATGCTGGGGATGAAGCCATGGCTGTATGCATGTTTGATGAGCATTAAGCTACACCCGGAGCTCAATTAAAAAAGGTTTTAGGGGGCTGGAGAGATGGCTCAGAGGTTAAGAGCACTGGCTGCTCTTCCTAAAGGTTCTGAGTTCAATTCCCAGCAACCCATGGTGGCTCACAACCATTTCTAACGAGATCTGGTGCCCTCTTCTGTCATGGAGGTGTATATGCAGGCAGAACACTAAAAAATAAAAAAGATTTAAAAAATATTTTCTTTTGTGTGTGTACACATATACAGGTGCCATATCATGTAAGTGGAGGTCAGAGGACAACTTTTGGGAACTGCTCTCTCGTTCCACCATGTGGGACATGGGGACTGAACTCAGGCTGCGGGGCTTGCCAGGAGGCACCTTTGCCGGCTGAGCCATCCACCTCACCAGCCCCAGTTTTATATGCTGACCCTGTGAAGTGCGACCTTGCTGAGATTTTAGTTCTGAGATTTTTAGTAGCCTCCTTAGAGTTTTCTCTATATGAGATCATGTCGGCCCAGCATGGTGGCACATGCTTGTAATCCCAGAATTTAGGAGACGGAGGCAGGAGAATCCGTTCAGAGCCAGTCTTGGAGTTCAAAGCCATCTTGGGCTACCTGAGACTCTGTCTCAAAAGAAAACAAATACGCAAGCAAGCAAGCAAGCAGACTGATTATGTCACCTCCAAGTAGAGGTAACTTGCCGCCTTCCTTCTCAGCCTGCAGGCTTTGCCTCTTTCTTCCTCAGCTGCTCTGGCTAGAGCCCTAAGTACAGCTTCAAAGAGAAGCGCTGCTGGGGACTGCTGGGCTTTCCTGTCTGTCTGTCACCATTGGCACTGGGTGAGCTGTGGCTTTTCTAGGTACTCTCTGTCAGGTGAGGGAGCTCCCAGCTTGTCCCTCCATCTCCCTCCTCCTTTCCTCTCCTCCTCCTCTCTCACTTTCTCCTCCCGTCCCCCCACTCTCTGAGAGAATCGTGTAATCTATCGTGTGATCTTTCGGCCTCTGCCGTGTGGATGCTGGAATCTCAGGTATGGCGCACTCCTTCTGTGTGTGTTTCGTGGTAAGAGTGTGCGAGACAGACGTGGGTGTGTTTAGATCACCTCGGGTTGAGGTCACCTCGTGGTTTTGTTCTGTGGGGGGCTGGGTGTGCTAGTCACTGGTTTTTGAAATGAGACCAGACGTATATCCTGGGTTACATGGACTCTTGGCCTGGCGCAGATTCTTTCTATTGTGTCTGGAACCAGTTTGCTTGTTTTTACCTCCAGGTTCTGAGATGTGTGTCTGCCGTTTTCTTATGATGTCTTCCAGGGTCAGGGAGCACTGGCTTCCTGGAGTGAATTGGAGGTGTGTCCTGATGGAGAAGTGGCCTTACCTTTCCCTGAGGATCTGGCCCAATCCACCCCGAAGCCTCCCAGCCTTTTGGCTAAGGTCAAGGGAATTCACCAGTGTAGCTCTCTGGGCCTGGGCCCTTTTAAGGGAAGTTTAAAGGTGACTAATTCAGGACCTGGAGAGATGAATCAGTGGTTAGTAATGCTTGCTACTCCTCCAGAGGAACTGAATTTGATTTCCATTTCCCGTGTTGGGAAACGCAGGACCATTTGTGACCCCTGCTCCAGGTGAGCGACACCTTCTTTTGGCTTCCAAGCACACATGCAGGCACAGACATACACAAATAAAAAAAAATTACTGATTTGGGGCCAACAGGGTGGCGCAGAGGATAAAGACACTTGCTGCCAAGCCTGATGACCTGAGTTCGGTCCCCGGGGCCGGCATGGTAAAAGGAGAGATTTGAATCTCATGCGTTGTCTTCTGACGGGGAACCTTAAGCCCGGGTCTCCCCACCTTTCTAATTTTCACTAAGTAGCTCAGGCTGTCCTCAAGTTCACAGTCTTTTGCCTTAAGCCTCAGAGTACACGGATTGCGGGTATATGCACACACCCTGCTCATATTCCTTTTCTTTCGTTTCTTTTTTCTTTTTTTTCCCCTTGAGACAGGGTTTCTCTGTGTAGCCTTGACTGTCCTGAACTCACTTTGCAGACCAGGCTAGCCTCAGACTCTCAGAGATCTGCCTGCCTCTGCCTCCCGAGTGCTGGGATTACAGGCGTGTGCCCCCACGCCTGGTTTATTTTATTTCTTAAAGGGTTTTGGAAAACTGCATTCATTCCAGCCTGAGTTACTTGAGCCTTCTCTCTCTTGTTCAGTAGCTAGTAGAGTTTTATTGTTGAGCTTTTAAAAGCACTATACTAGCCTGTTGTTGCCTCTTCCCACCATTTTTCTGAGCTATCACTCCTATGCCAAGCGTTATTGTTATTTCTTTCATTTTGTTCGCTGTGCATTTAGTTTGTTTTGGTGGCGGCGAGTCAGCGTATTGATTTGCGATCTTCCTTTTTGGCAGAGACATTTACACTGCAAGCTTCTCTTAAGACGCTGTTTCCCGTGTCTTGGTCTTGCTGTGCTGTGTTTTTATTTTCTTTTCTATGCATTTTCTGATTATTTTAGTGTTTTCTTTCGTGGTAGTTTTCACCTGTGAGTTCCCCCGATCTCTCTCTGTTATCGATTGATTTCCGTTCCGCCATGGCCAGAAACACACTTTGTGTGATTTCATTTCCTTTAAGTTTATTGAGCCTTGTTTTACGGCACAGCATATGGTCTGACTTGGAGACCGTTCAGGCACACTTGAGGCGAGTGTGGGTTCTGCTGTTGCTGGGTGCCCAGTGTGGTTCAGTTTGCGTTTTGCAGATGACTCTTGTGGTGCAGAAGGCTCTCTCAGTTTGCTTTTCCTGTGAACTGTCTGTGTTTTTTTTTTTTTTTAAATCTTGTGTGAGCTCTTTATATATTAAAAAAACCCTCTTGTCTATCATACGAATTGCAGATATTTTTTTCTGGTTTAAATTTGTTTAATTAAGCCAGGCAGACTTTTTCTTTTTTCTTTTTCTTTTCTTTTCGTCTTCTTCTTCTTTTTTTTTTTTTTTTCCGAGACAGGCTTTCTCTGTGTAGCCTTGACCGTCCTGGAACTCACTTTGTAGACCAGGCTGGCCTTGAACTCACAGAGATCCAACTGCCTTTGCCTCCCAGAGTGCTGGGATCACAGTCATGCACCCCCATGCCCAGCTTTAGAACTTTTTTCTTAAGAGAGTGTCTTTTTGTAGCTCAACATGGCCTTCAACTCACCCTATTCTTGCCTCAGCCTCTTGAGTGCTAGGTTGACAAGTGTGTGCCTCCATGCCTGGCTACGTGTTTTTTATATGGGCTGATTTAATAAAAGGAAACAAAGTCCCTTTTATTTTTTATTTATTTATTTTTTTAAAAATCTTTTTTTTTTTTAAAGATTTTATTTTATTATTTATACAACATTCTGCCTGCACACCAGATCTTACTATAGATGGTTATGAGCCACCATGTGGTTGCTGGGAATTGAACTCAGGACCTTTGGAAGAATAGCCAGTGTCCTTAACCTCTGAGCCATCTCCCCAGCCCCTTAAGTCCCTTGGTGGTGTACGCCACTGTTCCCAGTACTCAGGAGGCAGTGGCAGGAG